CACACACACACACACCAGTAAATAACAAAGGCTGAGCAAAGTAGGGAGTATTGTTCTTCACTGCCTGGGGATTTTCAATTTTAATTTTATATTTGGAGTGGACATTGTTTTTCCAGGGTTTTTTTTAGACGAGAAGGAGGAGGAAAATGGCAAGACAAATCGTGGAGAATTCCTAGGTTCCTAGACTATGCCATGCAGTGGCAAAAACAAAACAAAACAAAAAAAAAAGCAAAAACAAAAACAAAAAAAACAAAAAAAAAAACAAAAAAAAACAAGGGCCTGCCTGACTGTGAATGTCACAAGCAAGTCAGGGTTCAAAATGTGTACAGTCTGGCTCAGTTTAATTCAGAATGGTCACCGTGTATGGTGATGTTTCTGAGTCGGGAGCCTGGCAGTCTCTGCTCCTTTGAGTTGGTGGATATCCTGCTATACAGAACTGGCAAGAAATGAAAATTTGGTGTCTACTTTAGGAAATACAAGAGAGACAAAGGAAGCCTAGTCCCGTCCCCTTTCCCCTCCCCCCTTCTTAGTTCATCTAGAACTAAGTCCAAACAACTTGAATGAAATCCAAGACTTCATTCTCTTTTCCCCAAACCCAGAGCAGATTTCAGGTTTTAGCTTACATTAGAATGTCCTGCTCTGTTTTACAGTAAACACAAATAAAAGATGACAGTCGGTGTACAGAGAGTATTATTTTAAGAAAGTATAAGAATGATCGCCAGGCAGTGATGGCGCACACCTTTAATCCCAGCACTTGTGAGGTAGAGGTAGGCAGATTTCTGAGTTCGAGGACAGCCTGGTCTACTGAGTGAGTTCCAGGACAGCCAGTGCTATACAGAGAAACCTTGTCTCAAACAACAACAAGAATGAGCCCTGGTCCCAACTGGTGGAAATTAACCTATTCAAATTATATTTTTAAAGAATTGGGCTTGTTTTCACAATTGTGTTTGTCTTATATGTGTCTGGGATGTGTGTGTGTGTGTTGATGGTGTTGGTGCTGGTGTTGGTGAGTGATTCCTGAGTGCCATAGTACTCCTGTGACAAAGGACAGCTTCCTGGAATGGGTTCTCTCTACTATGTGGGTCCTGGGAATTGAACTCACGTCATCATGCTTGCCAGCAAATACTTTTACCCACTAAGGCATTTTCTGATCCTAGAATTTTATAATAGAACAAACGATTGTTCAATATGGAATTATTTAGTCTATCTAAATGGTAGGTTTTGGGGCTGTTGTTGTTCTGATATAGGTTCCATGTAGCACAGACTGGCTTGGACCTCACCATATAGCTGAAGAAGACGTTGAACCTCTGATCTTCCCTTCTCCACCTCCCCAGTATTGGGATTCCAGATAAGCAGCACCACAGCTGGCCCAGATCATCTTTATTAGTGCAACACACATGGTTTTCCAAGGTTGGAGTGGGGGTGGGGTTGGAATCCATGGTAACGTATCCTCTCAGAGGCGTCTGTGACGGTTTGTTCATTGCTGTGTGAATGTGAATGTTTTGTTTCCCTGGTAGCTACCTAAGCCATCACTGTGACTTGCATGTGGTCTTGAGTCTTTGACCAAGTCTCTTAGCCTCCCATGGTTAGAAAGGTGAATCGTGAGTGTGCACCCTTGCATCGGAAGCAAGCATCACAGAGCTAGGAGAGCTTCATTTTTATTCCTGGGAACCCTGATATGCTGGCCTCTGATGAGGTGGTGACTCTCAATGGATGTCAGAGCACTTTGTGGGCTGATTCTAATAATGCAGTGTCCAGAGGGGGACTTAGTCTTAATACTTCTATAAAACGGTAACGACTGGTGTAGTTGGGGTTGCGGGGGATACAGAGGGGCATAGAAGATGGCAGCTTTCTCAAAGAATAGTGTTGGTTGGCAGACCAGGGAAGGGCCAGCTTAATCTATTTCTCCACACTTTCAAAAACTTATCGGCCTCAGCTCCCTCTACAGCCAGCAAAAGCTCATGCCTCCCTCGTTGTCTTTATTCATATTCTGTACAGTCTCAGATTCTCTGAAACCCCTTCTATGTGCCTTCCAGAGTCTGGAGGTCCAGATGTATAATAAAAATGTTCTCTTGTCCCTAATCTTCCATGGTGTTTCCCTTAACTCCTAGGCTTCACTGTGTTTGGCTGGCACCCTCCTGAGGACACTGGCCCCCACTGTGGCCTCTCAAAGGGAAACAGTTATTCCCCGTGTAATTAATCTCTTCCAGGCCAGAGTGTGGCCTGCTGACTTTTCCTCCGCAACCCAATATCACTTTCAAACTCTTCCTCTTTCTTTCTTCAAGAGCCTCTGCAGTCTATAGATCTCTCAGCTCCTCATCCCTTCCTCCCCATGGCTGGTCATACACAACAGTGACCACGAGACAGTGATGACTCTTACTGCTCCTTAGAATCCTCAGTCTGTTCACACATGACAGTGACCACGAGACAGTGACAACTCTTACTGCTCCTTTGAATCCTCAGTCTTGTCATCTTATTTTTTTTTTAACTTCTCATTGATTCTTTGTGAGTTTCACACCATTCACCCCAGTCCCACTCACCTCCCCATCTCTTCATATCTGCCCTTCGCCCTTGCAACCTCCTTCACACACACACACACACACACACACACACACACACACACACGAGAGAGAGAGAGAGAGAGAGAGAGAGAGAGAGAGAGAGAGAGAGAGATGAATAAAGCAATTAACCAACCAACCAACCAACCACCACCACCAAAAGAAACCCCCAAAAACTGCAAAGCATAGAAAACATCTCGTTGTGGAGGCTGTAGTTAGTGTGTCACAGTGTGTCTCAGAGTATACCCCTCTGTCCACACATCTTTACTTACAATGAGTCACTGGTTTGGTTTGAGATCTCTGGCTTCTGTGACATCATCAATATTGGCTCCTCACTGAGACTCCTCCCACTTATCCTCTTGTTGCCCTGTGTCATGGAGATCCTGCAGTGTGGTTCAGGATGGGCCTTTCATGAGTCCCGACCTTTCACAGATGATGTGGATTTTGGGGTGGGCTAACTCAGAGCCCTAGACCTGAGCTTAGGAGGTAGCTAAGCTGGCCAAGCACCAGCTCTCCCTTATCAGCACCACCAGGGCAAGCCCTCCAGCACTGCTCTGGCTAGGCCACTCAATGTCACCATCAGCAGGAGGCAGGGTCAGCTCTCCTGCTCTCGTGCCCTCAGGGTGGCTCACTGGAACCCCAAGCCTCAAAAGCCAGCTCCATTCTACTGCCCAGTCAAAGTGTGGAGCCCACTCTCCCAAGTGCTGCAGCGTGCGAGGGGCAGGGTCAGCGCCCCCACTTTCACACCCTCAGGGCTAGCTCACCCATGCCTTTGCCATCAGGGCCAGCTCTACTGTGTTACCCAAACAGGTGCAGGGCCCACTCTGAGTGTTACAGCCAAGGCTATGCTTCTATTCTCATGCTCAGGGCCAGCTCTCCCAACACAGGTAGAGAGGGATGGAGTTGGGAGGGTGTCACCCTTGTACCACAGACAAGTGGCAGGGTCAGTTTTCCCTGGCTCTTGCCCTTGAGGCTGGCTTACCCATGCTCTTTGACCAAGGCTAGCCAAACTGTGCTGTCCAGGCAAGCTAGGTTCAGGGCCTGCTCTCCCAAGTGCTATAATTGGTAAGAGGTAGGGCTAGCTCTTTGGAGCTCATGACCTTGTAGACAGCTTTCCTGACTGCCAGAGGTGTCAGGGTGCAGGATCACCTCTGCATCCGTGCCACCCCACAGCAGATGAGTGGCAGGGTCAGGTCTCCCATACTCACTTTGGGACCAGCTCCATTGTGCTGCCCGGGGGAGCACCGGGCCTGCTTTCCAAGTGCTGCTGCTGGTGAGAGATGGGGCCAGCTCTCCAGAATGCCACATCTAGCGTTGGGGGGAGGGTCAGTCCTGCACATCTCCTGGACATCCAGGTGGTCCCCCAGAGGCTGGTATAACCAAGGACATCCTCATGTTCTCTGGTAGTAATATGAGCCATAGACGCCGACACCAGCCCTGGCTCCGTGTACCCACCGACTCAGACATGACCTCACCGCGCCTCAAGTTGCCAGGATTGTCCACTTATAACAGGCTACCTCTTTCCACCCTCGAGTCTCCAGTTCCATCTCTCTTCATAATGCTCAAGCTGCCCCACTTCTTTCTCTCTCATCTCACCACCACATGGCCACGAGGCTGGCAGACCCCTGGGTGATATCCTCATCCACCCTGTATGGCATTTCAGTAAGCAGTGTCTATGGCCCATTTTGCTGTGCACTGAGGACAGGTCTGTGGGTGGCGTGACAGTCTGCTGCAGGCCTCTGTCTTCCTCCTTCTGTGCTGAGCTGCCTGAATTTGATTTGGTTCGGTTCGGTTAGGTTCGGTTTGGTTTGGTTTTTATGAGTTCCAGGCATAAAGCAGCTTGGTCCACCAAACCAGGCATCAAGCTAAGATGAACAAAGGACTGCCATCTGCTCTGCCCCTGACTGATGTAAGGACACTACCAACAGCAAGGTGTCTCTGCCCATTGCCGGGGGTCTTGTCATCTTATTTAAATGGCTTCTCATCTAATATTCTGGGGTCTCCAGTCCACTGGCTTGACTGCTCTAAAAAAGCTGCTTTGAGGCACTGGAAAGATGGCTTAGCAGTTAAGAAAGCTTTCACTTCTTCCAGAGGACCGAAGTTCAGTCCCCAGTACCCACATAAGGCAGTTCAGAATCATCTGTAATTCTAGCTCCAGGAGATCTGTAATGCTAGTTTCCAGGCATGAGCACTCATGTGCATACACACACAATTAAAAATAAAATATGTATGTTGTGATGGTTTGTATATGCTTGGGCTAGGGAGTGGCACTATTAGGAGGTGTGGCCTTGTTGGAGTAGGTGTGTCACTGTGGGAGTGGGTTTAATACCCTCATCCTAGCTGCATGGAAGTCAGTATTCTGCTAGCAGCCTTCAGATGAAGATGTAGAACTCTCAGCTCCTTCTGCACCATACCTGCCTGGATGCTGCCATGCTCCTACCTTGACGATAATGGACTGAACCTCTGAACCTGTAAGCCAGCCCCAATTAAATGTTGTCCTTATAAGACTTGCCTTGGTCATGGTGTCTGTTCACAGTAGTAAAACCCTAACTAAAGATAGCCCCCATCTTCACCATGTCATGGAAATTCTTTTTAAAGATTTATTTATTTTATTTATGAGTACACTGTAGCTGTCTTCAGACACACCAGAAGAAGGCATCGAATCTCATTGCGGATGGTTGTGAGCCACCATGTGGTTGCTGGGATTTGAACTCAGGACCTCTGGAAGAGCAGTCAGTGCTCTTAACCGCTGAGCCATCTCTCCAGCCCATGGAAATTCTTACTATTAAATCACCTGCAACTTTTTTTCTTTTTTGAAACAGGAGCTCACAATGTAGCCCAGGCTGGCTTGGAACTTATGGACCTCCTGGCTTAGCTTCCCAAGGGCTGGGGTCCCATGTGTGTGCCACCACACCCAGCTTCAATTATGACTTTCATATTATCAGATTAATGGAGATCCTCTGCTCTGACTTTGTGTGAGGTCCTGTGAAAACATATCTAAGCCACGTTTTTGGTTATTAGATGCTCTCTATAGATGTTGGTAGCCTTCTAAAGATGTAGGTAAGTGTCTCTCTGACTCTAAACTGTGTGCTTTGTGAAGGGCTTTTTTTTTTGTTTGTTTTGTTTTTCGAGACAGGGTTTCTCTGTGTAGCTCTGGCTGTCCTGGAACTCACTCTATAGACCAGGCTGGCTTCGAACTCAGAAATCTGCCTGCCTCTGCCTTGCAAGTGCTGGGATTAAAGGCATGTGTGAAGGACTTTCTTAGCAAGCTATTACTACCCTCTTCTGTCACCATACACTCTTGAGCTTTTTTTTCTCTTGATTTAAAAAGTCCCTTGTCAGGCAGTGATAGCACACACCTTAAAATCTCAGCACTCTGGAGACAGAGGCAGCGGATCTCTGAGTTGGAAATCAGTGTGTGTTCCAGAGGGAGCTCCAGGACAGCCAGGGCTACACAGAGAAACCCAGTCTCAAAAAAAACAAAAAACAAAAAAACAAAACAAAAAAAAACAAACAAACAAACAAAAATCCAGCATAAATGAATTAATTAATTTTAAAAGGCATTTGTTAATTTTATGTGTGTGTTCTGAGTGTATGTATCGGGTCTGCTGCCCTAGGCAGAGTTGAAGCCCAAGGTTCATGTGGATGTCTGTGGTCCTGTAGCAACCAGTGGTCGTGTAATACCTGACTGGTGTTACTACAGAAGGTCATTAGGATGTCGTGGTCTATGGGGCCACCTGGGGCCATGTTGATATCTGTGATCTATGCTGTCACAGAGGGCCATGTCTGGGTCCATGGTCCTAGTGCAGCTGGGAGTGGGGTGGGAGCAGTGGGATAGTGAATAGAGACTGTGGTGATGGGCATGCTGTATTGATGTTCAATACAGCTGGTGTTACCACTAAAGGCCATTTGAATGTCATGGTCTGGGCTGCCACTTTTCAGTCCACCACCTGAAATCAAATTGATGTCTATGGGCTGTGTTGCCACCGGGGGTGGGGTGGCATGTTGATGTGAGGGACGTGTGAAGCAGTCACTTGAGACCATGTTGGAGTTTGTATCTTTGTACATGGCTGTGTTGATGTCCCTGGCCTGTGTTACAACCAAAGGCCATGGGGATATCCGTGGTCTATGCAGTCACCTGAGGCCATGTTGATGTCTGTGGTTCCAGTTACCACGGAAGGCCAGGCTGGTGTCTGTGGTCTGTGCTGCTGCCTGAAGCTATGCTAATGTCCATAGGTGGAAGTACTGCCAGGGACCATACTGGTGTTTGAGGCTCCTGTTGTTCCAGAGGCCATGATGATGTCCTTGGCCTGTGTTGTGACTGCGGAGTGCTATGATGGTGTCTGTGGCCTGTGCTTCGGCAGAGGGCTGTGTTGATGTCCGTGGTCTGTACTGACACCGGAGACCATGTGGAAGTGTATGAACCATGCTCTCTCTGACTGTAAAAGACGAGGAAGCTACTTCTGCAGTGGTATCAATGACTGCAAACTCACAGTTCAGAAAGAGAAACATGAAAGGCTTCAGTGACACCCTCAACCCCATCCCTGCCTGCTAAAAGTAACAGCCATCAACAGCCCTTGAAGAGAACTCATAAAAATTGTGATAAGGCCCTGAGTCCATGTTACAGTTGTGCAGCTTGGTTTTCATGGGGGACTTCTAACAGTGAGCGTAGAGACTGTCTCTGATTCTGTTCCCTGCTTTTGAGACCTTTCCCCACACTGGGCTGCCTGTCTAGCCTTGATAAGAGAGGATGCACCTAGTCTTACTACAACTTGATAAGCTAGGGCTGCTAGATATCCATGGGCAGCCTCCACTTTTCTGAAAAGGAGGAGTGGATGGGAGTGGTAGAAGGAAGGATTGGGAGGAGGGGAGGGAGGAAAGCTGTGATTGGATGTATAAAAATTATGATAAGGATGCTGAAGTGTAGCTCTTCACAATAATGGCTTCTAGCTGAGGTATAAGTGGGGAAGGATGACTCAGTTTTCTTTAAGAGGCTGACTACTAGGAGTTTGACCATGCTCCAGTGAGCAATACAAACTGAACTCCATTTCCTTTTCCTCTTCCTCTTCCTCTTCCTCTTCCTCCTCCTCCTCTTCCTCTTCCTCTTTGCCTTCCTCCTCCTCCTCCTCCTCTTCTCCTCCTTCTCCTTCTCCTTCTCCTTCTCCTTCTCCTTCTCCTTCTCCTTCTCCTTCTCCTTCTCCTTCTTCTTCTTCTTCTTTGGGAGAAGGTTTTAAGGGTGGAAGGCAGACCCAGGAGAACTGGGAAGTGAGTATGATCAGGATGCATGATGTGAAATTCCCCAATAATCAATAAAAATATTATAAAAATTATTATGGGAAAAAAAGAAAGGAAAAAAAAAACACCCGGAGATGCATTAATCAGGCCTGGTGATACAGACCTGTAACCCCAGCCCTCTGGAGGCTGAAGTAGGAGGATCAAAAGTACAAAGCTGGCTTGAGGTACAGCGT